AGTAGCTCCCAGCGCCCCCAATTCTCCCTCCCCGTAGCCCCCCCGTCCCGTGACGTCACGCACCGTCCGATGACGTCACTGGCGGCGGCCTCAGCCGGGCCCGGAGCGCGGCGACCCCGCCTGAGGGGAGGAGGGGGCGCGCTGCGATGACGTCACGAGGACCAAGCGGAAGTGACGTATTTTGGCGGCGCGGGGCGCGCGGCAGTGACGTCAGCGCGGCTGCGACGGGAGCGGGAGGTACCGGAGGGGAAAATTCCCGGGAATTTCTGGGGAATTTCGGGAATTTCGGGAGGTTCGAGGGTGGGGGAGGGGCTGGGGCCATGCGGGGGGAGGGGGGGTGCGGGCTCTTCCCAGTGCTCCCAGTTCATCCCAGTTCATCCCAGTCTGGGCCATGTCTCTGTTCCCAGTGCTCCCAGTATCCCCAGTCTGGGCCGTGTCTCTGTTCCCAGTGCCCCCAGTGCTCCCAGTTGCTCCCAGTTGCTCCCAGTTGCTCCCAATTGCTCCCAGTTCCCCCAGTCTGGGCCGTGTCTCTGTTCCCAGTGCTCCCAGTTGCTCCCAGTATCCCCCAGTATCCCCCAGTATCCCCAGTTTGGGCCGTGTCTCTGCTCCCAGTGCTCCCAGTTGCTCCCAGTATCCCCCAGTATCCCCCAGTATCCCCAGTCTGGGCCGTGTCTCTGTTCCCAGTGCTCCCAGTTGCTCCCAGTTGCTCCCAGTTCCCCCAGTTTGGGCCATGTCCCTGGCGGACGAGCTGCTGGCTGACCTGGAGGAGGCCGCGGGGGAGGAGGACGAGGCCGAAGGCTCCGAGGGGGGGGAGGAGCCCCCGATCGAGGACGTTCGGGAGGAGCCGGAGCCGCCCGAGGCCGCCGAGTCCGTGCGGAGCATCGCCAAGCTCTGGGGCTCCAAAGCGGTGAGAGAGCCCAGAACAGCCCGAAACACCCCAAAAACACCCAAAAACACCCAAAAACACCCCAAAAACACCCCGAAAACACCCAAAACCACCCAAAAACACCCCAAAAAACCCCAAAAAACCCCAAAACC